GGGAGTTCCTTTTGAAGAGAGTCACTATCCGATCATCCACAAACATCTTGGCCGCCCTGAAAGACAACCAACAGCTGTCTGCATTGCCGGGAGTTGCCTTGCTCCCTTTTAAAGCCTTCCACTCCCTTCTCCATTTTATTGCTTAACCAACAAGGACGTGCACTTGGGTTAATGTGTGAAGTGGAGAGGCTTCGAACAATAACAGGAGCATTTGAATTGGGTCACTGATTATCAGCAAAAAAAAAAAAAGAGCCTCTGTTGAAATGCTCCCGCATACTGTATATGATGTATGCGTTTATGTCTCAAGGCGAATAGAAATGCAATTCGAGAGGCAATTTTCGGAAGGTTCAGCATTCTCTTTTGGGACGAAGCTCACTTCCATCCTCAAGCAGGGTTATTATTAGAGTTTAGAGAAATTAGCAGAATAACTCAGATTCAATTTCAAAACACACTTTCCGGAATCAACGTCGCTGATGGCGTAGTGGCACACTCACCTGACTTACGCGCGGGCAGTGTGGGATCAGTTCGCATTCAGGGATGGTGCGGATGAGGGAGTGAATGGTTGTTCATCTCTATGTGTGCCCTGCCACTTGTGTAAAATACATAATTTAGGATTATCTTTGTTTGCTGTTTAATTTGACAGTCAACTTTGCCTGGGTGTGGCATTAAACAGGATCAAGCCTCTTTTTGGAAGAATTATTGGCTGTCAGCCATAGTGCTGCTTTTATGAAGTAACCTGAGCTCACTGTTGCCATACAGCTCTCATATCTCAAGTCAAAAAGAATCAATAAATCAATAAATAAATTGGCCAAGGAGGATAGGATCAATCTGGGAAAATGGAGGAGGTCAAGTTAAGGCTTCAGCCAAGTTTAGCTGTCTGGTGATCTCTTCTTAGCATTGAAAACAAAGTGAATGACAGTGAGGTGCAGTCTTATTTCACTCGGAGCAATGAGAGTAAAACAAGGAATGAATACCTAATCCCTTGAATGATTGCATGGGAGAAGCAATGCTTAGCCCAAAGATGTTAAATACAAATATGGGCTTCCGGCAAAGCGGAAACTTGAAGATTCCTCTTTAAAAAAAAAAAAAACACTCACAAAAAAACATACGTACCTTTTTCAAAAAAACAATTCAATTAAGTAATTGTCAGGTAACACACTTTGGCACATTCCAATGAGAATTCAGTGGAGGATAAGTTTTCATTCATAATCGGTGCAAATAAATCATTTATGTTGAAAATAATTTTTCACGGGCCATTGCAAGTAATCATGCCCCACTTGCAAGATTTCAGTGACTGAAACACAGCAGTCTTTTGATATAATTGCTTGTCAAAAAGAAAAAAAAACCCAAAAACGAATCTCATTTGACAAGACTGCTACTGTCAATGGCAAAAAGCCGTTTCATATGGTCGTTTTGTTGAACGTGTTTTTTGTGAAGTAACAGAAAAAAAGTCCAAATACCTCCAAAACGAAAAAAATGCGAAAATCATGGTCATCTGAGGCCGGCATGCATTTGACAAGACTGCTACTGTCAATGGCAAAAAGCCGTTTCATATGGTCGTTTTGTTGAACGTGTTTTTTGTGAAGTAACAGAAAAAAAGTCCAAATACCTCCAAAAAGAAAAAAAACTGAAAATCATGGTCATCTGAGGGCGGCATAAGAGGGTCACAACTCAGTAAGCGCAGTCGAATTTAGGGCAGGGTATCGATTTCCAAAATTGATACAATTCGATTCACTTTGTTTTCGATTCCGCTTAGGATTTCACACAGTACCAATTTTACTTTCTTATGGAAGACATTCTCAGAATATGCAGTGCTGCAAACAGTAGAGACTTCTTGCTCTAACTTGGTGAATTAGTAAGAATATGAATATTTCACATTCAGATTTGAACCCAAAGCAATTCATTCATTATGTAAGTCTTATTGAACGTAACCTAATCAAAACAAAAAATTATTTCAATCAATTCCAACCACATGGAAGACTGTGGGAGTAGCATTCAACAGCTTGCAGCCTCTTTTAAAGGCGTCTGAAGTCAGATGTCATTCAAAAAATCGATACCCAGTTGAATATAAGATAGTGCAGCCATTTTACGATATGATTATTCCATTTGACATTTGTCTTGGTGTGGTGACACATTTCACAGCGTCAGTTGGGTTTTCCTGCAAAATCTCTTGAAAGTGGACATGAACATGAGTGAAAGCTCAACAAACACATGTTTTTAGGTGTGGTGGGGGGAGCCTATATTGTGGATGTATGTGACGTCACTGAAGGCCTAAGGTTGAAATGCACGGCCCGCCACTTATATATATATATATATATGGAGGTATTGTACTGTAGCAATCTTCAAATCAAGACACATGTTTATACAAAAGACATTTATTAACATTCATCACCCTCTCACACTTCCTCTCCTGGAGATATAATAACACAGGATGACTTCTTTCAAATAATTGTCAACTTGTGCCATCTTGAGTTTCCCGTTAATCATCAACAGCCACCTCTGGTGACTCACGTAGGACATGAACTTATTCACATGAGCTCGATTGGCAAAAGGGACAACGTGCCACTAATACTGCTGCTGATAAAGAAGAGGTTTCTGGAGGCTTGTGTTTGTGTTGTGGTCATCGTTGAAAATAACACCGAAAGTCTTCACTTGGATACTATGGCGGTATTGTACTGTAACAATCTTCAAATCAAGGGGGGTGGCGGTGACCCCACTTCAGGACCATTACAGCACAAAGTGATTACAAATAGTTGTGAGGTTAGTTCTTGAAATAAATGTAGGATTTGTCCAAAAATGCATGGCTTGAATGTAATATCTACAAGCATGTGTGCGCTATATTTGTAAAATAATACCCAGCTTTCACAACAAAGGTACTAAGTTGATTCTTGGTGGACTGACACAACTATTCACGAGACATACAACCAAATAGATAAAGTTCACTTCTGCGTTGATTTCCTCTGTCAGAAGTATTGCAGTGTCTTTTTTCACATTTCTTTTCAGAAATCTTTTTCAATTTTCTACTGTTGGAACTTACAAGGGTGTCTGTGCATGTCATGAGGACCTTTGTTGTCTTAGTTTTAATTCAACTCCAAGGCCATTCATTTTAACACTAATGTCTATATGCATCCACACAACCCAGTGTTAAAGTAACATTTACTGAAGTGTTAAATCAGAGGTGCCCGAGTCCGGTCTTCGAGAGCCCCTATATAGCCTGTTTCAGATGTCTCGCTCCTCCAACACACCTGATTTAAATGATCAGGAGCATTATCAGGCTTCAGAAAAGCTAGCCGATGAGCCGATCATTTAAATCAAGTGTATTGGAGGAGGGAGACATCTTAAACATGCTGGACAGGGGGTTTCGAGGACCAAATAATAAAAGTTAAATAGTGTTACAACAACAAAAATGTAGTGTTGACAGTGCAGGAGTGATGACACTATTGAGTGTTTGGATTAACACCAATGAGCGCCAACACTACACAGTGTAGGGAAAAAAAATACCCGTGCCTCACTAGCTTGAATAAAACACATTACAAAATGTCAATTTGAATGTCAAATGCATTTCAGAACAGCTAATATAAAACTGCAGCAGGGCAAAATGTCGACTCTTTCATTATTTGCTGACCATCAACCCAACAATACAATCAGTTCAGACACAACAGGAAAGGTCACTGTGACACAACAGCCTCGCTCAAGTCACCTATCTACTTACACAGTGTGTGAGAAAGGGGCCCCGTTTAACACTTCTTTGAAGGAAATTAGCTTTGAACACGTTTGTTTTTGGGGTGTATATACAAACACTCAGAACATTGTCTCTAAAAAGTACATGCAAGTATCATTTCAGAGGAAACAAATTGTGTCACACCTCCTAATTCAAAATGCTTTGCGTCCAACTACTCTGTGGGAAGAAACAATAACAACAGCAGAAGTATATTTATGAATGAGGAGTTAGGTTCAGTAACAGGTGGATTTTTTTTTCTGAAATGTCCTAGCTATAAATGACAAGGCATGGTAAAAACCAGATTGCGGAAACTTTTATAGGTCAAACTTAAAAATGTTATCTGCGTGTGACTATAAAGATCTACCAAATCTATCTGACAAACTGTTGCTTGTTGTGAAGTCACTTGAGTCACTGCCACTATAGCACACTTGTATTACAAACACAGTTTTGCTCTGGCAAGTCAAAGCAGAAAATCAGCCAAACAATGGCTTGTATCTTGAAAAACTCAAAAGCTGAGACTGTTGTACCTCGATTCCATCCTATATTGACCCAGATACCAAATGGAATACTTGTCCTTGGTAAAACTCACACACTACGAAACATTTGTTTCCAGAGAGAGAGAGAGAGAGAGAGAGAGAGAGAGAGAGAGAGAGAGAGAGAGAGAGATCATGCCAATTGTCTGGTCACAGCACCCAGACCCCGACATACAACACCTGCTGTTTTCATCTCATGTTCACTGGGAAAACTCCTGTTGGACTATGACAAAGCTCACACTAATGTTTTGGGGGATTGGAAGTTATGTCAGTACTTGTCATGAAATGCAACTAGTTTTTGTCCTGGACGGGGAGTGGGGCAGTGGGTGAAATACATTATTGGTGGAAATAAGAGTACTGTAGTGACAACGAAAAAGAACACAAGAATATTCGCACTGGCTGCGAAGAGCAATTTGAGTGGCCGGCCTGAAAGGAAGGGAACACAAGCAATGGAAGGCCCCCCGCTGCCTCAGCCCCTCTTTTATCCATCCAGGAACAGGAGCAGAACCCGTGGGCATTCTGCCAATCTGGAGTCTTAAGACTTCATTCAAAGAAAGGGACTTGTTTCAAACTGGGAATGGCATTCTCTTCTATTCTCTTGCTTTCCTGACATTTCTGACGTGAAGCGGGGATTTCTGCTTTCCATCTTTACATCCAGGGAAGTGGGCGGGGGGGCATGATGGGTTGGGGAGGGGATCTGAGGACTTGCCATTCACGCAACGTTTTGAGAGCGCTATAAGAGGGTGATCCCTTCAGAGCCCCCTTTCCCTTTCTCTCCTGCTTTTCATTGGGCAACCCTTGACTCCCTCCTGCTCGCATGGTATAGCTCCTCCCTCTCTGCTACCCATTGTTTCCCCATACAGTATCAGGCTGAGGGGATGCCATTCTGGCTCCAGCGAGGGACGTGGGAGACACAGAAGGAGGTAAGAGTCGGACATTTCCATCATAAGCGTGCATCAGCATAACCTTCCTTTCAGAAGTGTGCAGCATAAAAGAGGTGGGCTTGACGGAGGCTTTTGCTCTTGTTGCTGTTGTGTTTGAGTCCAGCATGCGACAGAGCATCATCTGGAGATTCACTGCCAGTAACGTGTGAGGACGGGTGAGTCATTTGCTGGGTCGATCTTGTTTTTTGAACTCCCTCATCATGCATGCTGCACTCTCATAAAACAAGTGGCCGAGATCATCATTTGCGATTCCAAACATCTGGCTCAAGCGGATTGTCCGAATGGGCTTCCAGCAGAGAGGGGCCATGTATGCTGTCAAGGGATTAGAGCTAATCCTGGCTGTGGTTAACAATCACCTTTTTGTCTGGACAGAGTTTGTCATGGAGGCTTTCGTAATTTATGCTTAGATATGCACGGACGCAGCACAGGCTCACTGGAGCTCACTGGAGGTGGCCTTTGGTGAATGAAGAACTTTGCAGCAACTTCACTCTCTGAGCTCGGTGTAACATCCCACACACTTTCATGCAAAACACTTTGAATTTCAGGGGAACAATTACATTTTCGAAGTAAAAAGAAAGAGTTGTAGTTTTCGGCTTGCCTCGCTTGGAACAGGTGCGTGTAAAGTGGAAGAGGGGTGGCTCTCCCAGCGCTGGAAAGTTGCAGCACAGCACGGGAAGTTGTGGGGAAAAAGGCAAGGGACGCTGTCTCAAAGCGGCTTTTGTTGCTTGAATTGGAGACAAGAATCAGAGACTGACAAATACCTGGCCCCTACGCAGCCCAAATACCTCTGTTGCACTTGATACAATGTCAATAAATGCCTCCTCTGTGGTCCACAGTAGCTCGCTTCCCCTCTGTACACAGCATTTTTTTTTCCTTCTTGTTTGTACAACGGCTACTGTTCTCTGAGGGAGAAAATCTGGCCTGGAGTCCCGACTCAATGAAAACCAAGCACCTAACAACTGCTAACCTCAGCCTCTTTTTGCTTGTATCTCTGTGACCTGATCAACATGGGATGGGCCCATCGCATAAATGTGCCCGAGACAAGAGTCAAGTGCATGACATGCTCCAGCAATCAGCTGCAGTGAGGTTGGAGATGTGGTGAGTTCATGCAAAGTCTCTATATGGCAAAATGCCGGCGTGCTCACTAGGCTTTCTGTGCCTAATAGTGGTTTAAAAATGCACAGTGATCTCCTTCCAAAGTCATTCATGGATTAAAAAAAAGTTTATACGACGCTCTTAAGATTGAGCAGGAAAATAGCTGTGATCAAAATGGCATCTTGCATTCAGCCTTTTATACCAAAGATGAGTTTTGCCTGCCAAGGGATTGAAATAACTCCCAGAACAGGCTGCTGTGGGGTTCAAACATCGGCGAGGGAGGGCTCATTTTATTCGAGTGGGTGCTATGAAAAGTAGAATTTCGAGGAGACTGCTCGTTCCTCTGGGCTTAGGAAGACTCGGTTTCTGCGTTTAATTATGCATGCTCGTGTGAGTTTTAAATCCGCAATGTTGTCTGCAACCTGCCCCTCGTTTGACCTCTTTTTTGTTTCCAAGCTCTTCCAAGCATCTTGGCATCCAGATGAGCCCACAACCATGTCATATGGCTTTCTATTCCTACGTGAGTTCCCTCTCGCATTTCATGTAGGGTTCAAAGCCATTGGACAGACAGTGGACAGTCAACAAAAGGAAACTGTTGTTTTGGAAATAGTAAATGTGAAAAAGGCATCACTTTCGACCTACAAGGTATGCAAAACACTTCTACTCTCTCACATCATTCTCACTGTCACACAATGATTCATGAAATAGATGGACGAGTGTCACCAAAGACATTTCAAATCACACGTACACACTACAAGTTTGCCCCCATTGAAGTGATCCCCTGGAGTCTCATGGCCTTGTTAAACGATACGTCTTTTTTGTCGTTCACGGTGGTCATGGTCAGACTACCAGATAAATAGCCTTCTGTGTCTTGATTTGGTGAGTTGTCACACTACAAGTCTGTCGCCGACCAGACACTATCCAGCCTTTGCAATGAAGCAAACTCTTTGTCGACACGCTACTGATTGTCTGACTCACAAAGAATGGGAAAACTTGTCATTTGTAGTTTGGGTTTGAAATACAGGTACTGGTCCTAGAACCATTCTGAACACCTTTTTTGCCCCACGGACCGGTTTAAGTCAGACAATATTTTCAGGGACCGGCATTTAAGGTGTGGCGGATTAATACAACAAAATGATATGGTATGAGCTGCATGAAAACTGTGGTGTTTTCGAAATATAATAATAAACAAAAGGAGCGTCTAATCTGGTCGCAACACTCTTATCGCTATGGTAATGTTTAATGCCTTCAAAATACGATACAACGCAAATTCAAAGTGCATGAAAATGATGACTCACCACAGCCCCGAGCTTGATTTTCTGCAATCACAGTCCCATCTCGGGTTAATAGGAGACAATGACACCTCAAGTGTGTGGTTTATGTCCAGTCTACTTCGTAATTTTGTTTTAGTCACCGTTGCTGCAGAAACTCCCCACCTCACACATGCAGGATGTCGGAAATAGCAACAGTGCGAATGTGGCGATCTCAGAGTATTCAGCCATAACTTTGATCCAGTTGTTTCGAACGTACTTTTAAGGCCGCCGTCATTTGCGATCTCCAAGCAGCTTTTTTACTCATTTTGCGGGATTCAGCGTTTTGTTTATGAGCGTCATCGGTCACCTGACCACGAAGTGTGCCTTGACGTGAGTCAAGCGTGACACAGACGGATGTAACAGAGAATCCGGTAATTTTTCAAAATAAAACATATTTCGTATTCCGAAATAAATAAAACGTAAATAAGGCAAGTTCTTTCTGTGCGGCCCGGTACCAAATGCCCTGCGGACCGGTACCGGTCCGCGGACCGGCGGTTGGGGACCTCTGCCTTAGAACACCAGCTTTCATTGGCTGCATCATGTTTACCAAGACCTACCGTAATATCGGATTTTGCACGTCCATCAATAGTGTAGACTTTATATAGTCCTAATAATGACCATCCCTCTAATACAGTGGTGTCAAACATACGGCCCGCGGGCCGGATCCGGCCCGCAAAGTAGTTTAATCCGGCCCGCGAGATGATTATGTAAAGCAGTGGTGTCAAACATACGGCCCGCGGGCCGGAACCGGCCCGCAAGTAGGTTCAATCAGGCCCGCAGG